GGGGGGGGGGGGGGGGGGGGGGGGGGGGGGCGTAGGGGAGGGAGGAGCAGGTGGGGCCGGCATAGGGGATGGTGTCGGAGGGACCCCCCCGGGGACAGCAGAGGGTACCACCGCTTCGGGTGGGGTTTCGCCTAAACACGAGGCCACGTCAAGGGAAGGCGATGGTGGTGATGGGGGGGAGAACGTTGCTGGAGAGCCAACTAACAGGTCCGGTAAGGAACCTGCATCCAAGTCCGTCGGAATCCAGACTACATGGACTGAGGCACCAAGCGTAAGTGGAGAGCCCACTGACCATAATGAGCCGAAGTCCCCCCGGATCCGGACCTATTCAGAAAGGGCTCCACAGGCAAGGATTATTATGCCGACGGGAGGGGGTACGCTCGTGGGGGTAGGAGAGCGGGCCGCGGGATTCGACATGGTTTTGGGAGAATTCCGTGAATGGCATGGGAGGGACGAAGGGGAAGAAAGGGAAGAAAGGGAAGAAGGGGAAGAAAGGGAAGAAAGGGAAGAAGGGGAAGAAGGGGAGGAAGGAGAGGAAGGGGGTGAAAAAGGGGATATCGACATTGAAGGCGACGAACGGCTGGGCAATGAGGAGGATGCCGACTGCGAGGAGTCGTCTGACTCGTTCGGGCACCTTTACGCAGGCCATCCGGGGCTTGATGTCAACGACGATGCGACAACAATGGAGACGGAGACGCAGGTGGTCAGTGACCTTTCAGCAGACCCTGAAGAATATGAGGTTCAACCGCTGACGGCTGCAGTCGATTTCCAACACCGTTGCGATGAGGTTTCCGCTGTTGTGAGCCCGACTCAACGAAGTCAACAATTGAGCGTCGTTGAAGTTTTACATGGGATACTCGGCGACAAGCAGGTGGTCAGGCAACGGTCTGCAGCGCTTGTCCCGGACGACCGCCAAAATGTCACAACTTTCGTGCCCTCGAACACCGTTTTCTCACCACCCAGCTCTCCGATATTGACCGTCACCTTAGCCAGCGGCCGGAAGGGGGATCTCGGGGGCCAGCAACATGTCACGTCCCGGAAAAAAACTCGGATCGGCACTCAAACTCTCGACGTGCTGGGCTTGCCCGCGCCAAAGTCACCGACGAAGGAACGAAGGGATAAAGCGGCTGGTAAGCAGTGATGAACGTCGCGTCGTACGCGCTCCCCAACAAAGAACATGGCCAAGTCAATTGAATGACAATTTTTTTTTCTCTTCATGCACACAGTCGTCGCTTAAGTCCGCCGTGATCCGCACTTCGTATGTCGATGCGTGAGATGGTTACTCTTTGTGCGCCTGCCGTGGGAAGAAGTCCGCCGGAATCCGAACTTCGGGGAATGTTAGCGTTTCGCTTTTGTGGCTTGTTGTTGTTTTCCTTTGTTGAGGTCGGGGTCTCAAGCTCGATTGCGCTTGTCCTGTTGTTCTCCAGCGGCACATGGCCATGCAAATTCGAACTTTTGTAATTGGAGAGGTTATGTGGTTCTTTTACATTGTCACTTTCCTCAGACTCGTGTTGGGTAACGTGTATTCATTTTCCGTTTTGTTTTTCTTCTGTTGTACAGGGGTAGGGTCATCTCGAGCACGGAGGTCCTCGAAATATCCGGAACACATATTGCAGAAAGCCCCCGGGTCGACCATAAAACACAAGGATATGTTAAAGGCATCAGGGTTGATGTCGAGATCGGGAAGAAAGAGCATGCAATTGCCATTGAGGGGTGTCTTTCCCTTCTGCCCCCCGAGAAAAAGACATATCCTCGATCTGTGAGTAGGGGTCCGGCCATGAATGAACAATACTTACCAAAGTGTCGTGCAATGAAGGACAATGCTTAGACACTCTGTTTCTCACTACCCCACGTGTTCTTCGCTCGATGTTGTGCAGTGAGGGCCACAACGCGTAGAACAAGCGAGGAAGGATTTGTTGCAGTTGCCGCGCCTGCGCCTACCAGCTTGCAGGTTTTGGACGATATTGAACGAGGCTTGGTGCCGCCTCAACAAGTGATATACCGTCAGGCCTTCGAATCTACAGCTTTAATTCGTTCTTCTTCACTAAACTGCAACTTCAAGGATACGGCGAGGTGGAAAGGTGGGCTACAAACGTGGATCTGCGTCGATATGATATTATATTTGTTCCTGTCCACAAAGATAACGATCACTGGATCCTCCTTTCCGTCAACTTGAGAGACGATGTCCTCGAAATTTTTGATTATTTTCCTCGCGTCGTAGCTGATTCGGGATTCGGGTTTTTACCTTAGTGTTTTCGAATTGATTGTACAATATTTAGAACGTCAGACATTACACAGCCGGTCGTGTAGCGGTTGGAGGTCGGTGGCAACGAAGGTTCTGGTGGAAGGAGTTCCAAGACAAGTGGACAGAGCTAGTTGCGGGGTGTTTATGTTGATGTTTGTGACATTGTTACAACGTGGTGATCAACCACCTTCCCGGTTCTCTTGTAAAGATATTCCGGAAACAAGACGACAATTGGCATCATGTGTCTTGGAACGCCGTTGTCTTTGATGGATTCGAGTCATTTACAAACTTTGGTTTGAAAATATTTCATTTCAGACTGATTATATTTCGTTAACCCTTACATTGTTCGATTGTCGTTTTCACAACGACATTGCTTTCTTTTACCATTGCGAGTATGAGTTGTCTTTCAAATGCTCACTGTCGGTGTCACATCACGTGTTGAGTTTGGAATCTAAGTCAATTCTCACTCGTCTCTCGTGCTATTAAATTCGTCGCATTGCATTCCTTGTTCCAAATTGTGTCTCGAATGATATTGGTGTGTGTAGTGCAACATGACAAATTGGTGTGTGGATGGAAGACAAATCTCGGCGACTATGTGAGTGAGAGGTTTGTTACGTGAAGAGTCAAAGACCAATGACATCACGTCTTTTGTGTGCGCATAGAATCGCATATTTTTTACCGTCTGAATTACATGTAACCTAGAAATTTGTGTCCGTGCCCAAGCGTTTTGTTAATGTCCAAGTCTTTTGTTAATGGTAACTGAAAGTGCGGATTTGATCACATAATAAGCAACATATGAAGCTCTTCTGTAATATAACATGTGTTGTCGCGGAAAAACAACTTGTATGACAAAATTAATCGTTTGTACTTCGACTGCTACTGCAACTTTTACATTACTTGAAGTTTCCAATGACACATTGCTCAAAGCAAACATGTCAAATAAGGATACAATCATGACACCTTGCTCATCGCAATTATAAACAAGTATGGATCTCAGCACACTTCCGCATATTGGGCGAGATGATGGGCGTGTCCATCCTTAAACTAAGTATTCTAAAAAAGTCCGGACCTCAACAATATTCAAGCAACCGTCTCTAGCGAGATGATTGGCATGTTTGCACAACTTAGGGATGACCTAAACACATGTATTATCCAATAAAGATTCAATTATGACCCATTGTTCATCACATTTATTATTTATAAATATTTTTTTGAACAAGTATGGATCCCAACACACTTCCACAACAGGCTTCCCGGATGGGCGTGCCTATCGCTGTCCCACGTCCTCTAAAGAAAACTTACCCCGGATCTCGTCGCACATCCAAACAACCGTCTCACGTGAGAGGATGGAGTCCGACATGCTTGTACAGCTTTGGGCTAACCTAAAGCATTATATTATTCATCCAGGATGCAATGACGACACCTTGCTCATCACATTTATGAACTTGAAGTTTAACAAGTAAGGATCCCAACACACTTCCACACAGGGTTCCCGAATGGACGAGCGTGCCTATCGTTATTTATGTATGAACTTTAACAAGTATGGATCTAAGCACGCTTCACCATTTGGGATCTCATTTATACAATTTAACAAGTATGGATCTCAGCACACTTCAACATGTGGTCAATCCCTGGATGGTCGTGCCTACTTTCGTTAGGTTGCGCCCAAAAATGAATCCGTTAGAAATAGGACATAGTATAATGTTCTATTTTAACGAATAACATATTATAAGATCTCCGTTAAACTCCAATTTTCAGGTTTTTTCACAACAAAATATACGAGTATTCCAATTTTTAGGTTTTTTCACGCATTCTTCTTAGGGAGAAAACTCACTGAATTTGGAGTACTTTATGAGTTGGCCCACATATTGGTGAGTGGCAAAAATGGAAAATGTGCCGAATTAGCGCAACGATTATTTTGAGGTCTAAATGATTTTTTTTTTAAATGTTATAATATTTTTCCTTGAAAGAACAACACCTCATCTATGGATTCTCAAATTTTCAGATTTTTTTGCAGGTTCCTCCGACTAAAGAAATCGCCAAAGTGGCCTCTTGTAAAACGCCTGTTTCGTTGCGCCTGACCTCCCTGTTTTGAGAAGACGGGCCTCAAGGCCTAGGCCTGAGCGTCCTTTTGCAGTTCACATACCCTCACTTCTTTTTGGGGTCCGCTTTCACCCGAGGACGAGTCCAACACCCCCCACTTGTTCTTGGGGTCCGCTTCCACCTGAGCACATCCTTCCTTTTTCCAAAAGTCCCGGTTCTACCAGAGCTAGCTGTAGCCAGTCCGCGATTTTGCCATGGACCGGGACCGGTCCCCAATTTTGTTTTGACACCTAAGAACCCATTTTGCGTCCTGGTCGCCAGCCGCCGAAAATGCGACACCTTGACGCAGACGCCGAAGCCCACTATACCGCAGCCTTAGGGCTGCGAACAGGCGATGTATGGGGGTGTAAGAACTGGGCGGAAACCATTGCCTACACTTATATAAAGAAGGTAGTAAAAGAAGGGAAAAAGGTTGTTCTAGGTCTTGACGCGACAAGATATGAAGGTGCCCCTAGTCCACCTATTCCAATAAGTTTTCTCGACGGAAGCAACCAGAAACCTATAGTGAATATAATACTGAGAGTTGCCCCCCCCCCACCGGCGGCAGAGGCAAATAGATGGGATGGGAGGCGCAGCTACTGGCAAAGGCCATAGACACTAATGTTGCGCGATGGGGGCGGGGTAAGTAGATGGGATGGGAGGCGCAGCTACTGGCAAAATGCTCAGTCTTTGTGTTAGTCGGCGCCCCCACCGGAAGCAGGGGGGAAGTGGATGGGATGGGAGGCGCAGCTACTGGCAAAATGCTCCCTCTTTCCGTTAGCTGGCCCCCCCAACCAGTGCGGTACCCCCGTTTACCGTTCACGGGGTCTGTGAACGGAGACCAGTCATGGAGTTCACGGAGTTCACGACCCGGGAGTTCATGGAGTTCACGGAGAGCGTTTTTTTTTTTTTTTTTTTTTTTTTTTTTGGGCGTATGTTTTTTTTTTTATAGGAGGGTGGGGGACTTCAAAGGGTAACTCCCTATAATTTTTTCAATTTTGTTTTTCACGAATAATATTTTTTTTAATTAAAAACGAAAAAAAAATCAACCAGCCAAAATAAGCATTTTCGTTTGCTATTTTGTAGGTCATTTCGACTTTTTTTTTTTTTTTTCAATGTCACCACACTGTGGGGCTTGAGGCGAATGTACCTGGGGTGTGGTCCCAAGTCGCATAGAAGCGTGGCCGATCCAGTGTGACACTGAGTGGCAGCGGCCTGACAGGTTCATTACGAATTTCTGGGGTGAGAAAACAGGAGAAAGGCAAAAAAAAAAAAAAAAACACATGAAATCACTCAAGAGTGCTTCCCAGCCATCAGATCACAAATTATCTGATGGTGGTGGTTGCAACAACAGTGCAGAAAGTAACTGGCACATTTTCTGGAATAAACTCAACTTCTGTCAGCAGTCATGTTGACGCCCTCCATATACTCCGTGATTGAAGGAGGGCTCCACCAATGAGATAATTGCACAACAGCGAGCAAAATACTGAAAAGCTTTTATCCAGTGGGGCTATGGCCAACCCCGCTCTCTTTTGGGGTTGGCCATGCCCCCAACGGATTGAGAAGATTTTGGCGGGAAGCTTCCTTTGCGCCGGCATGCCCAGTGTTAAACCACTAGTACCTCGCTCAGCTATTGAATCCGAGCCTCCCAGCACGCTGCGCGCCAAGTCCTGCCGAACCACCGTCGCAATTTTCATTTTCGTTTTGCTTGCGGCCTCCAGCCAATGCGGTCCGGCAGGCCGAAGCCCAAATGGCGAGGCGCGTATACGGGAAACGCCACGGCCGATAGATGGGCCAGGTACTGGTGGTTTAAGGAGAGGAGGAGGGGAGCGAAGATCTCGTTACTTTTTCGGGTAATAC